CTGTATGTCTGTCCCCTGCATAGACTATCAGCCCCTCTGGCAGGTTCTGTATTTTGTTCCTTGGCACATAGTAGGTGCTCTATAAACATTTGTAAACTAAAGGCAGCGGCCTGTCCCTCACATACATAAGGTACTATGAACCCTAAATGGCATAGAAGTGATAGGTTAATGGTTCTTAAACCATATCCCTACTGAACCCTGCTGCTCTACTGGATTAAGATATCTATAACCAAAAAAAAGAATAATGCCCTTTCTCAATTCACAGAAAAAGTTAGGTGAATGTATAGAAGTCAATGTTAAGTTTTTATATCATATATTTTGTACCTGTCAGCAAATGACAAAGTGAATAAACATGTGGTAAATAAGTATTAGGGGCAAACAGGTTTAGATGTGCCTCATTAAAGATCTTTTTGTAAATTATGCAGTCATGGAGACCTGAAAATATTTAATAGTGATATATTCTGTTGGAAATATGGATGCTAATTTTTCCCCCACTCACTCACTGAGTCACTCTCTCAAACGGATGTTAATTTTTGTGGTGGAATTAAATGTTGTTATTGTATTAGGGTTCACTAGAGAGTCAGAACCAGTAGGAGACATATATATATATATATATATATATACACACACACATACATAAAAATATTTACATTGAAATTTAAATATATAATGGGATTTATTATAAGGAATTTATACAAATTTTATTTTTAATTTTTACTTTTTTTAGAGATAGGGTCTCATTCTGTCACCCAGACTGAAATACAGTGGCTTGATCATAGCTCACTGTAACTTCAAACTCCTGGGCTCAAGTGACGCTGAGTAGTAGTTGTGACTATGCATCTCCACGCCCAGCTACTATTTTTATTTAAAAAAATTTTTTTTTCTTTTTCTTTTTTTTTTTGAGACAGAGTGTAGAATAGGTCTCTTTATGCTTGCCTAGGCTGGTCTCAAAACTCCTATGCCCAGAGAGCCTCCGCCTTAATCTTCCAAAGTGCTGAGATTACGGGCATGAGCCACGCATGCCCAGGCTCAAAAATATTTTTAATAGGTACATTTGAGCCTGTTTGCCCCCTAAATTTGCACAATGTTGAGAAAATTTTCTTCCCTTTTTTGCCCTTTGACTAAGCAAATAAGGATACCAAGCTCTGTCAGCTGACTGAAAAACAAGTTCCCAAACCTTCTCTCCCACCATAGACTTGCCAAAAAGGATCAAAAATGAGGGGACTGGAAGAATTGCTCTGGGATGGATATACCCTAGAGGAAGACAATTTGAAAAGGGATGAAGGAAAGTGTATCTTTGCCATGGCTGGGGGGAGGAGTGTGAGAGCTAGGAGGACCAGTGAATGGAAAGGAATAATTCCTGGAGAAAGCGGCTGGGGGGTTCCATAGTAGATGGGGAAGTCGGTAGGGCTGCTGTCGTTCTGCACCTGAGGGGCACAAATACGAACCTTAGACCTCTTCCTACTGTGTTTCTTGCGCCTGATCCCACCTCCTTCCCCATCACATGGTCTCGGACTCACCCGCCTTGTTGGGTGCCTGCTGGCTGCTGTACTCTGGGTTTTTCTCACTGAGTTAGGACCTCCCCAGAATAACACCATACAGAATCCCATTTCACACAACAGAAGAAAACAGATTGCAACTGTTGTTTCTAAGAGGAAGGGGCAGGCAGGCACAGGTCCCGAATACCAGGGGACGGCAGCTTTAGCTGGGTGGATAAGGCCACTGCTCACCATCCCCTCCAGTGAAAGTTTAGTGGCTAAAAACTTCTCCCCCTACCTAATCCAAAGCCGCAGCCAGTAGAAGGTTGTCTGGCTCTCTGGCAGAGACACTTGGATATGGTTGGTGGCAGGAAGGGAGGAAGAATGTCTTCGCTATCTCTTGCTGCTGCTCCTCGGGCTTTTGCCGTTACTAACAGGTTGCTGGAGGGCCGGAGGGCCTGCAGGTGTGTGGTTGGGTTGGCTTCGAGTGATTTCGGGTGCAGGGGTGGGCAGGAGTGTAGGGGGATGCGGGCCACCACCAGGACCTGTGTGGAGTACTCAGTCCATTTCCGTTCTTGCTCTCAGAGGCTAGTTGTGGGAGAAGATGAGAAACACAGGAATTAGAGAGTTAAATAGGAGAAGGGTCCTCCCAAGGCCTAACCTTCATGCCCCAGAAAGTTGGCACAATCTTCACCACGCAGACTGAACACATTAATTCCAACGTGGACCATGTGCAAAAAGAAAGGTTTTGCGGGTACGAATGAAGCCCAGAGAAGATCAAATAATCATAGAAGTTGTACTTTATTTTTGCTTTTTATTTCCTGTGTTGATGACACTCGTATGAACTTTTTCTCTCTACTCATCTCGTATCACTGGAGTCAGATTTAGAATTATGTTAGTTCTGGCTCAGAACCTCTAAGAAATGCCTTCTTACCAAATGATGATTACTGGAGAAGACCAGGAAAAAAGAGGCCTGAAGTTTTATATATAATAAGGAAAGGCCGGCGAGTGTGCTCACGAGGCGGTGGATTGCTGAGTCAGGAGTCGAACAGCCTGAGAAGATGAGACCCATTCCTACTATAAATAGAAAGAAATTAATGGCCAACTAATATATAGAAAAAAATTAGCCAACAAGGTGGCGCGATGCTCTAGTTCCAGCTACTCGGAGGCTGAGCAGAGGATTGCTTGAGCCCAGGAGTTTGAGTATGCTGTGAGCTAGGCTGACGCCATGGCACTCACTCTAGCCTGGGCAACAAATCGAGAATCTGTCTCCAAAAAAAAACAAATGAAGGAGAATCAGGCACGTGGCTCATGCTCTAAATCCTAGCACGCTAGCCAGCCGGGATTGCTGCGAGTCAGTGGAGTTCGAAACAGCCTGAGCAAGAAGTGAGACCCCGTTCTACTAAAATAGAAAGAAATGATTGGCCAACTAAAAAATATATAGAAAAAAAAATTAGCTGGGCATGTGGCACAGGCCTGTAGTCACAGCTACTTGAGAGCTGATGCAGGAGGATTGTTAAGCCAGGAGTTTGAGGTTGCGTGTGAGCTAGCTGACACCATGGCACTCACTCCAGCCTGGGCAACAAAGTGAGACTCTGTCTCAAAAAAAAAAAAAAAAAAAAGCCCTAGGTGCTTCTTGAGGAAAAATAAATATAAACCCTCGTTTATTTTGGGAAAACTAGAGAGATAGGTGGGAACAGTAGAGAACATGGGGAGATAGCAATCCAGGTAGATGGATTAAAAATAGAGATCAAAGGAAGAGAGAAGCCTGGTGGGCTGGCTCAGCCTGTAATCCTACCCTCTGGTAGAGGACTTGCTTGAGGTCAGGAGTTGGAGACGAAACTGGAGCCAAGAACGAGACGTCTCCTCTATATAATAGAAAATAAATTATCGGACAACTAAAAAGTATATATAAAAAATGTCTGGGCATTGCTGCAGTGCCTGTGAGTCCAGCTACTCTGGAGGCTGAAGCAGAAGAACTGCTTAAGCCCAGGAGTTTGAGGTTGCTGTGAGCTAGGCTGACGCCATGCACTCTAGCCTGGGCAACAAAGAGAGACTGTCTCAAAAAAAAAACAGTAAGGAGGATCTTAAAACCAACCAACCAAACCAGTGTGTGTGTGTACCACAATGATGAGTCCATTTTAGAAAATATAGATAAGAGATAAGCAAAAAGATTATTTATACAAAATCTCACCCCCTAAAGATAATAACAAGCATATTTTTATATATTTGAAATGTATGATGGAGCTAGGTGTGTGCAATGACTTCCTTTAGCTTCCATAACTCTGTGCATATCACTATCATTGTACTTACCACAGTGTATTTTTTTTTTTTTTGAGACAGAGTCTCGCTTTGTTGCCCAGGCTAGGTGAGTGCCCTGGCTCAGCCTAGCTCACAGCAACCTCAAACTCCTGGTCTCAAGCATCCTGCTGCCTCAGCCTCCCGAGTAGCTGGGACTAGACAGGCATGCGCCACCATGCCGGTATTTTTTCTATATATATTAGTTGGCCAATTAATTTCTATTTATAGTAGAGACGGGTCTCGCTCTTGTTCAGGCTAGTTAGAACTCCTAGCTTGAGCAATCCGCCGCCTCGGTCTCCCAGAGAGCTAGTTACAGGCATGAGCCCCGCCCAGCCTTATTTTTTTTTTTTTGAACAGTCTCTCTTTGTTGCCCAGGCTAGAGTGCCATGGCGGCAGCTAGCTTACAGCAACCTCAAACCCTTGGGCTCACGCCTTGACATATTCCCAGGGAACTTAGGGGAAAAGGGAGACCAGCCACTGGCTGGAGTTCCTGAGACCCAGAAGTTGTGGAATGTACATCCTAGGAAGATCCGAGAATTGTCAATTTATAGGAGAGTCTAGGAATGGGAGCCGTGGGGTGACAGAAAACAAAAGACAGACAAAAGTGCTGCAAATTGGAGCCAAGTCAGCCTGGAGACATTTAGCATTGGGACTAACAGTAAGAATTTAAGCGAGGCCGGGCGCGGTGGCTCAGCCTGTAACCTAGCACTCTGGGAGACCGAGGGCGGCAGATTGCTCAAGGTCAGGAGTTCAAAACAGCCTGAGCAAGAGCGAGACCCCGTCTCTACTATAAATAGAAGAATTAATTGGCAACTAATATATATAGAAAAAATTAGCCAGGCATGGTGGCACATGCCTGTAGTCCCAGCTGCTTGGGAGGCTGAGGCAGGAGGATTGCTTGAGCCCAGGAGTTTGAGGTTGCTGTGAGCTAGGCTGACGCCATGGCACTCACTGTAGCCTGGGCAACAAAGCGAGACTCTGTCTCAAAAAAAAGAAAAAAAAAAAAAGAAATTTAGGCCCTAGGGATTTGGAGGAGGAGAGAATTTGAAGACCATAGATGCAAGAGGGGCCTTGCAGAGACACCAAGGAGTTGGGTTCTCAAGAATTTGCAACTCCAAGGGTCTTGTTTTAGGAAGCCAGAACTAGGCAACCAGACACTGAACTAAGCTCTGAGACAAGCTGGAGGATGTGGCACTGTGGGGTGGGGCAAGGGGTTAGTACCTGTGTGTGGAATTGTCTGCGGCTGGGGGTGTGGCCCGCCCAGTCTGAGGCCCATGGTGTCCCAGGCGAAGCCCCTGAACTCGGCCTAGCCCCAGGCTGTGGAGAAGCCTGGCGAGGCCCCCTGCAGTCAGCGTCCCATTCTCTCCATACAGGCCAAACAGCTGGGCCAGGTAATGGTTCTGCTCCTGCTCTGCAGGGCCCAGGTTGGGGACTGAGCCCCCTACCCAGCCCAAGACCACCCATACACAAAGACCAGCCAGCAGATGACTCATTGGGGGCCCCATCATTGCAGGGAATGGCTTTGAGGCTCTGGTTCCAATTCCTATTATCCCCGGAACATCCTGAGGACTGTGCCCTGAAAGAATAAGGTGGATTGGGTTGAAGCTATTGCTCTGCTCTACTGCTTAGGCCAGGGGAGAACCACCACTCCTATATCTGCCCCCACCTGAGTCCAACAGCAGCCCCCACTAGAGCCTTCTCCCTCCCCATTGTCTCCTGGAGCAGCCTCTCCTTTGCCAGTTCCTAGAGCACATTCCTGACCCAGAGCTGACCATCCATCCTGTCTCCCAAACCCCATCCCTCAACCCTGTCCCACCTCTCTATCCTCCCTCAATCCCCAGGGCCTCACCCCACTGGCAAAAATTGTGAGAGCAGTTACCTTAGGTCCCCCGTCAGGCCTCGCTGTGGAGTTAAGATTCCTGAGTCAGAGAGGGGAATCCAGGCTCAGCTTCCCGGTGCCCAGGTGGAATGGAGGCCACGTCATATAGAAGGCTGAGATGGACAAGCCCCCCCTCCCAGCCCACCTTCCTTGGGGCGGGGTCAGGGGTGGGGCCAGTGTGGGAAGGCTCACATCAGAGAGGAGTTAATGGTTCACTGGTCTCTGGGGTGGGGGTCAAAGGTCAGTTTATGCTGGGCCCCTGAGTAGGGAGGGGCTACCCTCTGCCCCTGGGAAAGCCACATGGCTAAGGAAAACCTGGGCCTGTTTCTTTTTCTCTTAAATAACTTCACCCCACTCCTAACTCAGTTAGTACCATTTTAGCCTTTTCTCGCATATGCTGCCACCCCACCTACCTAACATCTGGCACTGAACTTCATCTCCAACCCCCATCCCCATGTTCCCTGGGAAAGTTGGACCCAAGTGTCCCTACACTAGGGAGAAGGGGGAAGAAGCAGATTAAGTGGCAAGCGCAGATGCATGCATGGGAAAGAAACTGCTCTCAGCGATTTCTCACCCCAAGACGATCGAGAGTCAGAGCTCTATAAATCTATGACCAAGAAAGGGGAAACTCTGGTGGGGAGAGGAAAAATGCATTGGGGCTCCCCTCAGATGTCTGAGCTGGCCTGAGATCAGGCAAGCAAAGTCTGATTGGGGTGATTAGTCCAGGGGGCTGAGGTTGGCATTACCTGACAGCGGGAGACAGGAAGGACACCCAGAGGAAGGGGGACACAGCCTTCTTGATTCTAGCTGGGGGGGGAGGCAGGCAGGCGGGCAAGGGTCACCTGCAGGGAGAGGGCAGGGGAGGGACACTACCTTAAAGGGGCAGGTCTGCTTTGCCTAGGCCTCCTTACCTGTAACCTGTCTTCTTTGCACCTTCTAGGGACACCCTGCCTTCCCAAATGCCCAGCTGCTAACCTCTTCCTTTTTCCACAAAAAGCAAAGGAGTCCAGTACAGAGTGGTAACATTTATTAGGAAGGAAGCATTTCAATTAAACTCCCATTTCACACACAGAAGAAACAGATTGCAACTGTTGTTTCTAAAGAGGAAGGCAGGCAGGCACAGGGTCCCGAATACCAGGGGACAGGCAGCTTTAGCTGGGTGGATAAGGCCACTGCTCACCATCCCTCCAGTAAAGTTTAGTGGCTAAAATACTTCTCCCCCTACCCTAATCCCAAAGCCAGCAGCCCAGTAGAAGGTTGTCTGGCTCTCTGGCAGAGACACTTGGATATGGTTGGTGGCAGGAAGGGAGGAAGAATGTCTTGCTATCTCTTGCTGCTCCTCCGGGTTTCTTTGCCGTTACTAACAGGGTTGCTGGAGGGGCCGGGAGGGCCTGCAGGTGTGTGGTTGGGTTGGCTTCGAGTGATTCGGGTGCTAGGGGGGTGGGCAGGAGTGTGAGGGGGATGCGGGCCACCACCAGGACCTGGTGGAGTACTCAGTCCATTCCCGTTCTGGCTCTCAGAGGCTAGTTGTGGGAGAAGATGGAGAAACACAGGAATTAGAGAGTTAAAGTAGGAGAAGGGTCCATCCCAAGGCCAACCTCCATGCCCCAGAAAGTGGCACAATCTTCACCACGCATGACTGAACACATTAATTCCAACTGGACCATGTGCAAAAAGAAGGTGGCTTGGGGGTACGAATGAAGCCCCAGAGAAGATTCAAATAATCATTTTAGAAGTTGCTACTTTATTTTTGCTTTTTTTATTTTCCTTTTTTTTTTTGATGAACTCTGGTATGATATTTTTCTCTCTTACTCATCTCTGTATCACTGGGAGTCAGATTTAGAATTAGTTGTTTAGTTCTAGGCTCTAGAACCTCTAAGAAATGCCTCTTTACCAAAAGTGACTGTAAAACTGGAGAAGCACAGGAAAAGAAAGGGCCTGAAGTTTTTATATTTAAAATGTAAGGAAGGCCGGGCGAGGTGGCTCACGAGGCGGGTGGATTGCTCGTGGTCAGGAGTTCGAAACCAGCCTGAGCAAGAGTGAGACCCCATCTCTACTATAAATAGAAAGAAATTAATTGGCCAACTAATATATATAGAAAAAATTAGCCAGGCATGGTGGCGCATGCCTGTAGTTCCAGCTACTCGGGAGGCTGAGGCAGAGGATTGCTTGAGCCCAGGAGTTTGAGATTGCTGTGAGCTAGGCTGACGCCATGGCACTCACTCTAGCCTGGGCAACAAATCGAGAATCTGTCTCAAAAAAGAAAAAAACAAATGTAAGGAAGAAATCAGGCACGGTGGCTCATGCCTATAATCCTAGCACTCTGGGAGGCCCAGGCCGGGGATTGCTCGAGGTCAGGAGTTCGAAACCAGCCTGAGCAAGAGTGAGACCCCGTCTCTACTAAAAATAGAAAGAAATGAATTGGCCAACTAAAAAATATATAGGAAAAAAAAAATTAGCTGGGCATGGTGGCACATGCCTGTAGTCACAGCTACTTGAGAGGCTGAGGCAGGAGGATTGCTTAAGCCCAGGAGTTTGAGTTGCTGTGAGCTAGGCTGACACCATGGCACTCACTCCAGCCTGGGCAACAAATGAGACTCTGTCTCAAAAAAAAAAAAAAAAAAAAGCCCTAGGTGTCTTCTTGAGGAAAAATAAATATAAGACCCTGTCTTATTTTTGGGGAAACTAGAGAGATAGGTGGGGAACAGTAGAGACACTGGGGAGATAGGCAATCCAGGTAGATGGATTAAAAATAGAGATCAAAGGAAGAGAGAAGCCTGGGTGGGCTGGCTCAGGCCTGTAATCCTAGCACTCTGGTAGGAGGATTGCTTGAGGTCAGGAGTTGGAGACGAAACTGAGCAAGAACGAGACCCCGTCCCTACTATAAATAGAAATAAATTATCTGGACAACTAAAATATTTATAGAAAAAAAAAATTAGCTGGCATGGTGCTGCATGCCTGTAGCTCCAGCTACTCTGAGGCTGAAGCAGAAGAACTGCTTAAGCCCAGGAGTTTGAGGTTGCTGTGAGCTAGGCTGACGCCATGGCACTCTAGCCTGGGCAACAAAGAGAGACTGTCTCAAAAAAAAAAACAGTAAGGAGGATCTTAAAAACCAACCAACCAAACCAGTGTGTGTGTACCACAATGATGATGTCCATTTTAGAAAATATAGATAAGAATAAGCAAAAAGATTATTATACAAAATCTCACCCCCTAAAGATAATAACAAGTCATATTTTTATATATATTTGAAATGTGTGATTGGAGCTAGGTGTGTGCAATGACTTCCTTGAGCTCCCATAACTCTGTGCATATCACTATCATTGTACTTACCACAGTGTTTTTTTTTTTTTTTGAGACAGAGTCTCGCTTTGTTGCCCAGGCTAGAGTGAGTGCCCTGGCATCAGCCTAGCTCACAGCAACCTCAAACTCCTGGTCTCAAGCAATCCTGCTGCCTCAGCCTCCCGAGTAGCTGGGACTACAGGCATGCGCCACCATGCCCGGCTAATTTTTTCTATATATATTAGTTGGCCAATTAATTTCTATTTATAGTAGAGACGGGGTCTCGCTCTTGTTCAGGCTAGTTTAGAACTCCTGACCTTGAGCAATCCGCCCGCCTCGGTCTCCCAGAGAGCTAGGTTACAGGCATGAGCCACCGCCCCAGCCTTATTTTTTTTTTTTTTGAGACAGTCTCTCTTTGTTGCCCAGGCTAGAGTGCCATGGCGTCAGCCTAGCTTACAGCAACCTCAAACTCCTGGGCTCACGCAATCCTGCTGCCTCAGCCTCCCAAGTAGCTGGGACTACAGGCATGCGCCACTATGCCCACCTAAATTTTTTTTCCCTATATATATTAGTTGGCCAATTAATTTCTTTCTATTTTTAGTAGAGACGGTGTCTCACTCTTGCTCAGGCTGGTTTCGAACTCCTGACCTCGAGCAATCCGCCCGCTCGGCTCCCAGGTGCTAGGATTACAGGCATGAGCCACAGTGCCCGCGCCCCACAGTGTATGATAGTCATTATCTGTATGTCTGTCCCTGCATAGACTATCAGCCCTCTGGCAGGTTCTGTATTTTGTTCCTTGGCACATAGTAGTGCTCTATAAACATTGTAAACTAAAGGCAGCGGCCTGTCCCTCACATACATAAGTACTATGAACCCTAAATGGCATAGAAGTGATAGGTTAATGGTTCTTAAACCATATCCCTACTGAACCCTGCTGCTCTACTGGATTAAGATATCTATAACCAAAATAAAGAATATATGCCCTTTCTCAATTCACAGAAAAAGTTAGGTGAATGTATAGAAGTCAATGTTAAGTTTATATCATATATTTTGTACCTGTCAGCAAATGACAAAGTGAATAAACATGTGGTAAATAAGTATTAGGGGCAAACAGGTTTAGATGTGCCTCATTAAAGATCTTTTTGTAAATTATGCAGTCATGGAGACCTGAAATATTAATAGTGAGTATATTCTGTTGGAAATATGGATGCTAATTTTTCCCCCACTCACTCACTGAGTCACTCTCTCAAACGGATGTTAATTTTTGTGGTGGAATTAAATGTTGTTATTGTATTAGGGTTCACTAGGAGATCAGAACCAGTAGGAGACATATATATATATATTATATATATATACACACACACACATACATAAAAATATTTACATTGAATTTAAATATATAATGGGATTTATTATAAGGAATTTATACAAATTTTATTTTAATTTTTACTTTTTTTAGAGATAGGGTCTCATTCTGTCACCCAGACTGAAATACAGTGGCTTGATCATAGCTCACTGTAACTTCAAACTCCTGGGCTCAAGTGACGCTGAGTAGTAGTTGTGACTATGCATCTCCACGCCCAGCTGCTATTTTTATTTTAAAAAAAATTTTTTTTGTAGAGATAGGGTCTCTTTATGTTGCCTAGGCTGGTCTCAAACTCCTGGCCCAAGAGAGCCTCCAGCCTTATCTTCCAAAGTGCTGAGATTACGGGCATGAGCCACCATGCCCAGCTCAAAAATATTTTTAATAAGGTACATTTGAGCCTGTTTGCCCCTAATATTTGCTACATGTAGAGAAATTTTTCTCCTTTTTGCCTTTGAGTAGCAGTGGCAAAAGGATACCCAAGCTCTGTCAGTGACTGAAACAAGTTCCCAAACCTTCTCACCATAGGCACTTGCAAAAGGTATCAAAAATGAGGGGACTGGGAGAATTGCCTGGTGAGGGATATACCCCCAGAGAAGACAGATTTGGAAAAGGGATGAAGGAAGTGTATCTTTCCAGGCTGGGGAGAGTGGGAGAGCTAGGAGGATCAGTGAATGGAAAGGAATAGATTTACCTGGAGAAGCGGCTGGGGGTCCAGTAGTAGACTGGGGAGTCGTAGGGCTGCTGTCGTTCTGCACCTGAGGGCACAAATTACATACTTAGACCCTGCTTCCTACTGTGTTTCTTGGCCTGACCCACCCTCCTTCCCCATCATCATGGTCTTGGACTCACCGCCTTGTTGGGTGCCTGCTGGGTGCTGTACTCTGGGTTTGGCTCACTGAAGTTAGGGACCTCAGAATAAACCATACAGAATCTGCAACGGGTGAAAGTAGCTAAAGCCTTGGACCCATCCTCTGGGCCACTGTTGGAGGCCTCAGAATGGTCCAGAAATAGAGCATGGACTGCATACCCTTATACTGCCTCCTTGCAAACCTTAACATTTGCCCCTTGGGCTGGTGCTGCTTCATCCCAATCCCCAAGACAGCACTTACTCCCCAATCTTCTGCAGATCACCCCCACGGCCAGTGTACAGTGTCAGACAACCTTTGAACACTGAAGCATACCTGTGGGGGCAAAAAAAGCAAGATTCAGAGTACTCAGAAGAGTTATAGGGAATGTTAACCCTACCCCCCTTGATTGTTGCTGTCCTTGGAAAGCCAGGAGTCACCAGCTAGCTTACCCTTTGGTGAGCCGGATAATGTCCCCAGGCTGGATCAGGTTGCCCACGTCGTCCCAGACGGAGATATTGATGCTGCCCGTTTTGTCTGCCACTTTGCAGGTACGAACTTCGTGCCCGTCCTTTGTCTTGGTCACTCGGCCTGAAGAGAAGAGATAAATGGGGGTGGCAGGATGGCCAAATAGATGGGGTGGTGGCAGTCAGAAGGATGAGATCTGGATATTGGCAGGGCGAGGGAAAAGGTGTACAGAGCAAAGCCTAAATTCCTGGGGCATGAGGGGTTGGAGGTGGGGTTGGTAATAGAGGAGCCAGCACCATGGAGAGGGCCCCTGAGTGGATAGAGACCTGCGTGGCACTGAAGCCATGGATCTGGCCAGATTTCTGTCTACCCTACACCCGAGTGCAACTGTGTGTGCCAAGGTCTAAGAGAGAGGGAGATCAGGAGTGAGTGGTGTACTGGGGCGTGCCCTGCCATCCCCGGAGCAAATTCAGAACTAAGGCAGTGTTCCCCTCCCGCTCCCCGCCCCCTGCGCGTGAACCCACCGCCCCAGCATAGCCACCTGTCTCCAGCACAATGAAGATAAGGTTCAGATTCTTGAGCCCAGGCTTGATATCCTTCACAAAGGTCTCCGTCGTCATGCTGCCCAAGCCTCTGCACCCCACTGGAAGGGGGAACAGGGAATGAAGGCTCAACGCTCTGAGCCTTTGCCCCCATGCTCCACTTCCCAAGGCCTACGTACCGCACCAGGCTGGGGTCAGGCAGCCTCAACCCCTCTAATCCTTCTAAAAGGTTAGAAATGAACTTCCCCAGGGGCCTCCAACTTCAGAACCAGAATTTGGGGGTCTCTGGATAGTCTGCTTTGGGGCTGGAAAGCCCCCTGCCGGGATGCTCTTTCAATCTCAAGTCCCGAAGTAGGGGAGCCGACGGAGACAGGGGTAGGGAATCCGGTGCAAAGCCAAGGAATAGAATCTTACTGGCCAAACCTTCCCGAACCCTGATCGGAACAACCCGGGACTCGGCCCATCCCCTCCCCCACCCACAGCCCACCACCCACCCAGCCAGCCGGCCCGACTGTGCACGCCGCTGAACCGCCCGCAGGGGGAGCCACAGGCCCCGCTACCACCGGATGCTGCCCGATGGAACGCGGGAATGCAGACATTCCCGGAAGTTTCGCCCGGCTGGCCTCCCCCGGCCAATCAGCACCGTCCGGGCGCGCCCAGCGTTCTGTCGCCTGCCCCGCCCAGCCAATCGGGATCCGAGACTCCTGCGCCGCGAAGGAGGCGAATTTCAGGTATTAAAGGAACCTCGGAGGTAGTTGGATCTGCAGGGAGGGGTGAAGGGAAGAACCACCACAAGGAGGCGCCCAAGGCCCTAATTTTCCTTGTCTTCGCTGGGAGAATGAATTTAGGCCATTTCTCCACAAGGAGTGACAAAGTAGAAAAAGGACCAAAGGCTTTGGAATATGACAAAAGTTTGAACAGCGGCTCAGAGCTTCACTTCCTTTTTCCACAATTCTTAAGCTGTATAAAAAGCAGTGCCTAGCACACAATGGGCACTTCTTAAAACATTTTCTCCTCTTCTTCCACTACCCTCACCCTCATCTTTAATGTACTACCCAGCTCGCTCAGGGCCCCTGGGAAAAGTGACATTCATACCAGAGACAATAGGCTGACTCACCCCCTTTGGGAGAAACGGAACCCGAGGCATAAAAAACATTTGCATTAGCCCCTCTCATAGTTCTCAAGACCTGTTCCTACTGCTCTTATCTCACTAGATCTCAGAGTTCCCTCAGAGGACCAAAACTTTAGTTCCCTTTGGGACCTGTCAGATTGTCAACAAAAGGTAGCTAGCTCTGTATTGTTGTGTATAAACCAATTACATAAAGATATACTAATGTGCATTACCATTTGCTTAGCGAATATCCACAACAAATACTATTTAATAACAGATTAGACTAAGAGGTCATGTAACTGTAATGCTTTGGCTTGCTTAATTAATCCCTTACCTTCTCATGGAGCCTTTAGGCTCCACCTTGGATCCCAGGTTCTCTCCCGTCCACACCCCCCCAACCACAGTGTTGTAAGATAAGGAAATCAAACCACAACCCAGGAAGGACATTTTTCTCTTCCTTCTCTCCTCTTAGATGTTTCAGGAAACTCTATGAGTGTTCAGGTAGCCATCGTGGATACGGCAGGAGTGCAGCTGGGAGAAAGGCAGACAACCTATTGAGCACCCCAGATCTATGCTTTGCGGTCAGACACTCCCTCACTTCCCACACGGCGGCCGCCTCGTTAACTGCAGTATCCATCCCCATGACTAGGAGTCATAAGGTCAGGAGGCTCTAGGATGCTGACCACTGCTCTGGAAACCGGAGAGGGGCCGGGCAGACGGCAGGTCACGCTGCAGGCCAGCCTCCCCGCGACGAATTCGCAGCACTCCGCATCAGCTCTAGGACAAGACACGCGCGCCCCTCCAAAAGGAAGAGTTGCCTTCCAGGGAGTCAGCACCCGGCTCAGATGCTGACGTTCACGTAGGGGAGAACATAGAGTTCTCCCTCCAAAATGGCTATATAGTCCTGGCTGAGACCATAAAGACTTCCGGTCTAGAGTGGAGGCCCGGCTAGCCTTCGTCCCTCCTCGTTGGACGCTCGTGGCTAAGTCTGTATTAAACAAAGAGGCGGAGTTTGGTGACGAGCTTCCGCCGGGTTGCGTAGCAGCGGTGGGCGGGGCAAAGGATCAGTCGGAGACTGCGACAAGTGGTCGGAACCTTTTTCCCCCTCCTTCCCCTACCCCTTCCCTTCCCAGGAAAGGCGGAGATCCGGCACCGGGACTGTCCCGTGGCCGCTGCGGCTTCAGCTCCCACCAGGCCAGGGTACGGAGAGTCCAGGCCGCGTCCGGGCGGTGCGTACTGCGCCTGCGCGGGCTTCCACCTAAAGAGGGTGTGGGAGTGGAGGGGGTGATGTCCCAGGGGGACTGGGGTGGGGGTTCGAGATACTGGGATTCACGAGGAGGGATAGGAGTGAAGATGAAAATGGGGGAAGGGAGCAGCACCGGAGAGGAGTCAGGAGGTGAGAAGGGGGCTCTGGAGGATGGGTTGTTGGGGAAGGTCCGTTGGAATAGGGGAGCCTTGAGAAGTGCGGGAGGGGGCTTGGGCTGGCTGGAGAACAGGGAGCAGCGGACCTGAGGGAGCAACGTTGTATTTAAATAGGCCATGACTGACGGGCCGGGAGAAGAAGAAGGGGACATTCCCGGGACCAGCCTGGGCAGTGGCGGCGGAACCCGAACCCCCGCCCTCAAAGCGCCATAGCTTGGCTCCTCTCCCTTGCCTTGTCCTTCTCTTTCATTCCTTCGCCGATCCTCTCCCCCTCCCAGCCCTCCATGAAGAAATCTCACATTCCTCACATCCCTACTCTTGATTTGCAGCCGGGTCCTCTCGCACACTTCACACACCACACACCGGAAAGCCTTGGTTAAGCCTTCCTCAAGCCCAGACTGAGGGAATTTGGGAGTAGGGAGTGGGTTGGGGGGCGGCAGGGAAAGAGCAAAAAGCCGGGGAGGGTGAGAGCGTTTTGCCTGAGGGATTGATAGACACCTTCCTTATTCAGAAACTGACTTCATTTCATCTAATAGCAAATGTGGTTGTTAATGAGGCCACCGTTCTTGGGGACTGGCCTGTAACAGTCTTATTCTTTTCTATACAGTGGTTTTAGAGTTTGACAAACAGAGCAAGAGGCTGATAGTGTTTCTGGCTGATAATTTTCTCCCAAATAGAAATGGGGTGTACTAGTGGTAGGGAGTGTGAGAGATGCAGTGTTACTACCTGTGTATCCAGCTGACCTGTGGCTGGGTTTGGTTCCCAGTAGTTGAAAAGAAGGAACAAGCGTCCTTCAAGCATTTGTTCTCCAGCCCTCAGTACCCTAAGTTTATTTTTCATTCTGTTGCTACAAATAAAACCTTATCTGAGGATAGCAGTATCCAGTAGCTTTCACATTTGTTATATCACGTTTGATTTGCAGGACAATATGTATAAAGTGAGTGTGTGTGTATATATATACACACACACAAGATACATAGATAACCCATACCATTAACTCTATTTGTTGGTTGGTGACAGCTAGGACCAGAACCCAAGCCTCCTGACTCATGGTCTTCTGCTTAATTGAAAAATCCTGTTTTGTTCTGGCCAAGGGGGCATTGAAGTAGGTAGGATTGGTCTTCCCAGCATATGCAACTATTTGCTTTCTGAATCTTGTTACAAAAGGAGACTGACCATAGCCAACAGCACTGGTTCCTGGAAGCAATTCTTGAGGTACAGGTGCATATGCCAGGGTGTTGGGAAATGGGGTGTTATTAAAATGAAGGAAGCGTTATACCCTCCTTTGTGGGTAGGAAAGGAGTAGTGGAGAGAAACATCAACCCTTGTCCCGACCACAGGGAAGAAAAAGTACCTGGCATTGCACTTTAGTGTCTGATTTTTCTTTTTTTGTGAGAGAGTCTCACTCTTTGCTCAGGGTTAGAATGCTGTGGCATCAGCCTAGCTCACAGCAACCTCAAACTCCTGGGCTCAAGCGATCCTCCTGCCTCAGCCTCCCACATAACTGGGATGGAGTCCAACTCCTGAGCTCAAGCAATCCTTCTGTCTTGGCTTCCCAGAGTGCTAGGATTACAGGTGTAATGGCACAGTTGTGAGCCACCATGCCAAGCTGATTTTTAAACTGGCATTTTGCTTTAAAAATACCATGCTAAACACATTGTGGCTGATGAGCATAGCAAACTGATGAGCATACGTACCAGACTCAGAAGATGAAACGGTCTCTGTTTTATGTGTAATAGTCATTATCCTGTGCCTTCCTAACATGGCCCTTAAACAATTGATAGAGATGTACTGGTGAGGAAAGGATTTTGAATAGTTGCCATTCTTCTGTATACAGTTCAGTAGATCTCTCAGCATCTTTCATCTGAAGCCTTGTCTTTCTCTGTTTAGTTCTATCCATATAATGATGAGGCTGGTCAGCCTAATCTTTCCTATTATCTCTATCCTTCACAGTTGATCACCCTGGAATAATTTTCTCACTCACTGCCTCTTCATTTCTTTTTTTTTAAGCCTGATCCCTGACTTATCAGTAGAGTTGCCACCTGTACCAACATTCTTGAGCATCTTTTCCTCATGAAATAGTATTTTCCAATTGGAAGGTAAGACCAGCATTTTTTTTTTTTTTTTTTGAGACAGGGTCTCACTCTGTCACCCGGGCTAGAGTACAGTAGCATCATCATAGCTCACTGCAACCTCCAGGGCTCAAGCAGTCCTCCTGCCTCAGCCTCCCAAGTAGCTGGGATTATAGGTGCAGAATTCTTTTTTTTTTTTTTTTTTTGAGATAGAGTCTCACTCTGTTGCCCGGGCTAGAGTGCCATGGTGTCAGCCTAGCTCACAGCAACCTCAATCTCCTGGGCTCAAGCAATCCTTTTGCCTTAGCCTCCTGAGTAGCTGGGACTATAGGCACGTGCCACCATGCCTAGCTGATTTTTTCGATATATTTTTAGTTGGCCAATTAATTTCTTTCTATTTTTAGTAGAGATGAGGTTTTGCTCTTGCTCAGGCTGGTTTCAAACTCCTGACCTTGAGCAATCTGCCTGCCTTGGCCTCCCCAGAATTCTTTTTACATGAAATAATTTATGTGAAAGCACTTTGGAAACATTAAAGCATCATACTATACATGTAAGATATTATGGTTCTATGCATTTTGTAGCCACAGATTTGGAATCATTGACATCACTTGTAGTTATGTGCACTGAATAAAGGAATCTTTTTTTATCTCCATCAGTGCCTCTTCTCTACCTTTCCTCTTGTCCTTTTCTTTCCCCTTGCCAGCTATGTTTGAGTCTACTGGACCATATGTGTGATTCCTTAGCCATTGATTTCCTTCCTTGGACGTTAGTCCCATATACACTGAATCCTGTAGCGCTTAATGGAGTTGTTTATTCTCTCCAAGTCTGCGGTCTCATTGCCAAGTGGAGGTAGTTCCCCTGACTTACCTTTCTCTTCCTTGTTCCTATTAATAGAGTGCTCCTGATTGTGACATCACATCCATCCCCTTGGCAATGGAGCTTATCACTAGGAAGGAAGACTCAGTCGGAGAGTAGCCAACAAGATGGGTTACTGGGAGCATCTCCTGAGTGGCACTGAGTGGAGGCATCAGGGGGTCGGAGCCTTGTGAACAGGGAGCCTTCCCCCCAACACTCAGAAGGTAAAGAGCCTTGATTCAGAATCTCATTCCAGGCTTCATCCTTCTTCTCTAAGAGATCAGAGTTCCTTCTGCCCTTGAAAGGCTGATTCTTTTTTTTTTTGTGAGACAGAGTCTCACTGTCTTGCTGGGGCTAGAGTGCCTTGGCATCAGCCTAGCTCACAGCAACCTCAATCTCCTGGGCTCAAGCAATCCTTCTGCCTCAGCCTCCTGAGTAGCTGGGTACAGGCATGTGCCACCATGCCCTGCTAATTTTTTCTATATTTTTAGTTGGCCAATTAATTTCTTTCAATTTTTAGTAGAGATGGAGTCTCCCTCTTGCTCAGGCTGGTTTTGAACTCCTGACCTTGAGCAATCCGCCCGCCTCGGCCTCCCAAGAGCTAGGATTACAGGCGTGAGCCACAGCGCCCGGCCTGAAAGCTTGATTCTTAAAACTCCTTTCTGCAGAAAGGTTTCTGTGATTAACCCATACCATCCTGTTCTTTTTTGCATATTTATGTCTTTATATTAGTTATTAACTTTTACTTGTTGGTAAGTTGCTTAGTAAGTTTTATTTTTTTATGTGTTTTTAATCCTGTATACTCCTTAGTCTCAAGTCTACACTTAGATTGAGGACAAGGATTGTGTTTTCCCTTTCTTCTTTATATCTTTACTGGTAAGGAGATTATGTATTTAGGATGATGAAGTTTAGGGTAACCATACAAATAGTGCTTGATGCTGGTAACCAGTTGGGAGGTCATTGCTGGCCTTTGAAACCTGGCAGGTGTGCCTTTAGGCATTAGATGAGTTCTTGAAGAATTGTGTGCCTTTTGTATTCTTTTGTAAATCAGATCAATTAAAATGTACTAAGGATGCCTAACTTTAAAATCCCCTATAATAAATCTTGTATGGATCACAGCATTCTGGAATTAAATAGAACCTTAGAATTCCTCATCTCACAAGTGAGGAAACTGAGTTTCTAAGAGGGGAAGTGATTTCACTTTAAAGAGTCTACTGCTTAAGTAAAAAAGACCATTTCCTTTCATTTAAAACGTCAAGAGAATTGCCTCAAGAGAGCAAGGTCAGTTAGTGGTAATGCCAAGGCACCTTTTAACATAATTACCCTCTGATTTTCCTGTTGTTTTTTTTTGAGATAGAGTCTTGCTTTGTTGCCCAGGCTAGAGTGAGTGCTGTGGCGTCAACCTAGCTCACAGCAACCTGAAACTCCTGGGTTCAAGCAATCCTTCTGCCTCAGCCTCCCGAGTAGCTGGGACTACAGGCATGTACCACCATGCCCGGCTAATTTTTTTCTATATATATTAGTTGACCAATTAATTTCTTTCTATTTATAGTAGAGACGGGGTCTTGCTCTTTCACAGGCTGGTTTTGAACTTTTGA